TCGTAGTTCAAGAAACGGAGCTAAAAGTTTAATCCCTGCTAGGCAATTTCAGAAAAATTTTTCAGCAGAAACGCGACTGACAGTTTCTATCAGTTGACAAGCAAGAACATTTGGGCAGAGGAATCGTTGATAATGACGATTTCAACAGTTTGTGAACACAACTGAACAAATTTTCAAAGTTTCATCTGATGGTTTTTCTAATGTTCAGACAGCAGAGCGACCATTTTAGAATGAGTGTAATTAAAGTCAGTTTGTTAAAAAATTTGATGGTTTGCCTTTAAGAAAACGTTGGAGTTTTAGTTCATGTTCTGTCAATAACTTTATTTTCTGCCTTGTGTTTTCAATTTAACTCTATTCTGAAACTTTTGAAAAGATTACGGAATTGCTGTTCTCTCTTTATTCAAGACGTTTTCTTGCGGCAGTTTTGTATGAAATAAATAGGGCTGAAATGTGTTGTTTTTTTTTCGCAATTTGAGCTTCGATTCATCACTGAAAGTGTCTATTCTTTCAGATTTACTGTATACTGAGAGTTATCATTGTTTGTTCTTGGTTTTTTTTTCACTAGGCAGTCGCATATTTGGGATACAGAAGCACTTGGAAAAATGAAATGTCGCAATAAAAGTCGCCCAGGCACGTTTTGTAATTCAATGTTTTGCGTGGGTATGAGGTTTGGGGTGGGTATAAAGCTAGCGACCATTGAAACAAAAAGAATTTAAAAAACGTTCCACTTGCATTCATTGTAAACGCTTAAAATATTTGGTGTTTAAGGATCTGCCGTTGGACGAGGAACAAGTAAGAAAAAATCTTGCGCTGAGGAGGAAGAACGAGCGATTCCTGACGGTTATTCTTGAAGGCTCCGAGTACTCAGGTCTCAAAAAAGTCATTAGAAACCTAATTCTGAAAGGTCCAAAAGCTCAGTATCAGTCTCCGCAAAAGAATTACGTTTCACATAAGATTTTTTTAAAAGATGTGCTGGTTCTCGAGTAGTTATTAAATTCAAGTGGAAACACTTCCGGACTTCATGCAAATTAATTTGGATCTTCTCTTGAAAGGTAAGAAAGTACGAACCGAAGACAATGTTACACAAGGAGAATGTCGGTTGAGAAACCGTTCCCACGTGGTGAACCAGTTTGTGAACTGGAGTAAAATAAACTAGCATTTAGAAACTTCATGCTCTTTGTTGCACCACTTGTAACTTGATTTTTCACTATTTTGAATTGTGATGTGTGATTTTTCTCAAAAAAAACCGAAATTTTCTCGAAAATTTTTCATGGCTAGTCAAGAGTTTTTCCAGATAGAGATACCTAATTCATAGGTCTTCAGGGTTATTGCAGTGGCAACCCATCTTTGAAACATGAAGGTTTGTCTGATTCAGGCCTGAAAATTTAGGCTAATGTTTCAGCACAACGGCTACTTTGGTTGCTACGTCTCCAAGAAACTTGGTTGCCTTTTTGCTAGAACGCACGCATATTATCCGTTTTCAGATACAGGTGAAATAAGATGGAGCGAAAAAACTAATTAGTATGTTTTTGTTTGCAATTGTCTTGCGGTTCAAAGTGTTTCAAATGTAGTCGGTATCAAAGGTAAAAGCGGTTTTCTAGCATAATCGATGGCCTTCCGCTCACAGCCATTATGGGCTAAATGCACTGCGTTCTTATTGGTGTCTATCCTGATTTATTCGACTGCATTACAAAATATTGACACCCAATCAGAAAAAGGAAATAAACGTTTGAATTGAGGGAATAAATTCTCCCTGGGGAAATGATTGCGTATTCGAGTCACATTCGCAGAATAGAAGAAATTGGGTATTTCAAGGCAAATGATTTTTTTTAATGGCTTTGCTACGTTGGTCCAACTGCAATGAGAGGACGTTCAGACTAATCACTATACCCACATTATCTGAAGTTGATATTTGGCGTGACCATTTATTGGAAACGTCCAAAGACGAAGCTGTCAAAGCAGCAGAATCAATTTTAGAGTTTTTCTCAATTTTTGTCAATGTTTTTGATAACAACCCAAAAATCTAAACAAACAATGTTCATTTGTTGCGACATTTGGCCTTTCAAGCTCGAATGTTTGGACCCTTGTTCGCTTTTTCGGCTAAGCTTCAAGACTACCAACATATTACTCGGTGTGAAGTTTATTCAGGCTCAGTTACTGAATGCAACGTTCTGCAGACGGTTTTTACTACGGAGAAACTAATAGACGAAAAGTTTCAGAGCGAGAAAGCAAAAGTTGAACAACGGTTGGCTGGGCTGTGAGCAAATAGATACCTCGGTAAAATTAAATCATGAAATTGTTAAAACTAACGAAGTCAAAATGGCAGAAAAACCTCTATCCAGACATGATAAGTTTCAATCGGCATATCTGCAGTTGGACGAGGAACAAGTAAGAAAAAATCTTGCGCTGAGGAGGAAGAACGAGCGATTCCTGACGGTTATTCTTGAAGGCTCCGAGTACTCAGGTCTCAAAAAAGTCATTAAAAACTTAAATCTGAAAGGTCCAAAAGCTCAGTATCAGTCTCCGCAAAAGAATTACGTTTCACATAAGATTTTTTAAAAAGATGTGCTGGTTCTCGAGTAGTTATTAAATTCAAGTGGAAACATTTCCGGACTTCATGCAAATTAATTTGGATCTTCTCTTGAAAGGTACGAAAGTACGAACCGAAGACAATGTTATACAAGGAGAATGTCGGTTGAGAAACCGTTCCCACGTGGTGAACCAGTTGTGAACTGGAGTAAAATAAACTAGCATTTAGAAACTTCATGCTCTTTGTTGCACCACTTGTAACTTGATTTTTCACTATTTTGAATTGTGATGTGTGATTTTTCTCAAAAAAAAACGAATTTTTCTCAAAAAAAACCGAAATATTCTCGAAAATTTTTCATGGCTAGTCAAGAGTTTTTCCAGATAGAGATACCTAGTTCATAGGTCTTCAGGGTTATTGCAGTGGCAATCCATCTTTGAATCATGAATGGTTTGTCTGATTCAGACCTGAAAATTTAGCGCTAATTCAGCGGTGATTTAGCCCTGATCATGGATATAGTGACCCTGATCAAAGACTGAACAAGATTTTTAAAAAGATGTGCTGGTTCTCGAGTAGTTATTAAATTCAAGCGGAAATATTTCCGGAATTCATGCAAATTAATATGGATCTTCTCTTGAAAGGTACGAAAGTACGAACCGAAGACAATGTTACACAAGAGAGAATGTCGGTTGAGAAACCGTTCCCACGTGGTGAACCAGTTTGTGAACGGGAGTAAAAAAAACTAGCATTTAGAAACTTCATGCTCATTGTTGCACCACTTGTAACTTGATTTTTCACTATTTTATATTGTGATGTGTGATTTTCCTCAAAAATAAACAAAATTTTCTCGAAAGTTTGTCATGGCTAGTCAAAAATTTTTCAAGATAGAGATACCTAATTCATAGGTCTTCAGGGTTATTGCAGTGGCAACCCATCTTTGAAACATGAAGGTTTGGCTGATTCAGACCTGAAAATTTAGCGCTAATTCAGCGATGATTTAGCCCTGATCATGGATATAGTGACCCTGATCAAAGACTGAACCATAGATGGTAATCGCTGCGATATCTCTGAATTAGCGATAATTTTTCCTTTCAACTCAACCCGGGTTGTCACGAATAAAGCGTGTACATAGGGTAGTAAATTGCCAAGGCAATTCAGCCAAAGTGGCACCAAATACAAATAGACACAATTTGAAATATAAACAACTGAAAGCATCAACACTAACTTTGCATCTAAAAAATCTCAAAGCATAAAGCCATATTATGTATAAATTATGCATTTCGAAAATTTGCGAGATATATTGATTGAGAAAATTTCTGAAATCGAAATTATATTTTTCTTATGTTGCTTAATACAAATAAGGTTTTTTAACATTCATTTGATGAACTTAAAACGAATCACTTGTGTTAATTTATTACTATTCGAAAGCTATCAAAAAGGCGTAAAGGTGCCATAAAAATGACACCAATATTTGCGACCTAGGTTAGAAAAAATAAGGTTCTTAATAAAACACTGCAGATGCGAATTTGCACTTCGAATAAACAAGCAAAAAATGACCGATAACGCTACTGGAAAAAACTGATTTAGTAAAAATTTGTGCCTCTAAAATTTCTTCAGTGACGCACGCCAATTATGAGTCTACATAATTGCTAAGTGACGCAAGCCAATTATGACGCAATAGCAGTATCGGTCAATTTACAAAAAAAAAGAAATTTACCAACTTAAAAGCCTCAATTTATACAGTGGACGCATTTTAACTAGTATACGAAAAAGTTCATTAAAAACATCCAAACCTTCCCAGGTTCGAACCCTCTTATTTTGCTGCTGGTCTCATTCCCTACCTCTACGCTAGAGAATCATGATACCTTGAAGCTAAAGTGCTCTTTGTAATATAATAGTCTGTGTTAATATCCTTAGCATTGGCTGTACTTAATAGCTGGATCAAATTGAACACTTTCAAAATGAACACATTTTGTCCCAATAATTGCATCGCAACAATATTTGCGACTTAGGTTGGAAAAAAAAAAGAAAGTTCATACTATAACACAAGCTATGCTTTTTTAAATCTGACGCTACTGTAAACAATTGGAGCAAGAAATGGGAGCAGCATGAGGAAGCGTTGCATCGAGAGGCTTTGCGGGATACTTGGTGCAACTTCTTCAATAGCAAACTTTTCATTTAATCACATTGAATAGATGTAAGTCTCTCGAGTTTGGAGACAAAAAAAAGGCTGAACTCCAACATTGCTTCAATGCCAAATAATGAACCTCTCTCACAATATACACAAAACTCCACTTGAACAGAATCGTCTCAAGCTGACCTGACTAAATTGCCATTCAAGTCCGCTCACAAAGGCTTTTTGCAAAAAACGGCCTACTGGGATGAAAGTTTTGGCAAAAAGCTATTTTCGTGTTACTTAATACGATACCCTAAGTATTTGTGTAACAAGCTTTACCAACTTTTAAACGATTACTTGTTATAAGACTAGAAACGTCACTCAATTATACGTTTAAGGAAAAAACTGTTACAGGACAATACACTGATGAAATCAATAACTAACATATCAAACTGACATAAAAAAAAGTTCTTGCACAACAACAACTAATTCCCAATACGCAACTTCTTCTGGCGCAGTAGACAATATATGTTACTCCAAACAGCTGCTAATTCTACGAACTTCGTCGAAAAAAAGGTCAGCAGTTATTTCTGACCCAACGATGAAATCGTCTCGGTGTATGCTGACTCGTTGAGTCTAAAACAACAAACACCGCAATGAAGATTTTATTCAACAATTAATAATAAATTATTTTTCACACACTTTTAAAGACAATTCACAAACTGCAGGCACATGAAAAACTTGCAAAGAGTTTTGGGGTCCCAAAATCAGTTTTCTCAGAACGATTGCATGTGATTGGATTCTTTGGCATGAGCAAGTAAAGCTTAAATATAATAATGTTTTTTGGTCTACCTGTAATTTTCTCTGGCAATTTTCCACTTTCCGTCATACTCTGCCAACAAAATAGAGTGTGAAAACATGTGCATTCTTCGACCTAAAACAATTGAGTGTAATGAATAGAAACAATAATTACCATTATAGCTGTCAATCTATGAAATTAATGAAGAATCACATCAGCGGAAAACATTAAAAGCTACCCTCCCATTTTTTATAGTCTAATTTTAAAAAAATATATAGTATTTATATACACGCAATTTTCATTATAGAAACGAGAATGAGCGAAGCCATTATATTATAAGAATTTTAAAATCCAAAAATCCTCACAAAAATCCAAATTTTAACTGCGAAAAAAAATCGAACCTGAAAAACCTTCTTACCTGATGAAAGTTCTTATTTTTGACTGTGGTAATGATTCGCATAGTAGATGAACTGATAATCTTGTTCTTGTTATGAAGCTCAAACATCAAATTCAAGAAAATTTTAAGACATTTTTTGACGAGCAAAGCTGACTTCACATACGACAAAATGCGGTCTTATTTTTCGAGAAGGAACTTACCAACCGGTAACAAAGCCGAAATTGTCTGAGCAGACACTCTTTAAGCCGAAAAATTTTCAAAAAGACTTTTCGCTCATCAAACGACGCAATATGAGGCCACTAAGCCGTTAATATTGTCCGAAACCTATAAAGCCGAAAAAAGTAAAGACGAAAACTATAAAGCAGACGCCTATCAGGCCGAAATCAATATAAAAAGCAAATTTCGAATAGGACGGATATTTTAAATATTAACATGTTCAAAATATGTCTGTTGCAGATTTCCAACAAAGGGTCCAGGATATGAGTCCAGATTGAATTAGTGCTGTAAGCAACGTTATTTACGGCAAAAAAAAGTCTTGTACCCGATTGCAATACCCTTGTTAACTACAACGGTAAACACTTCATCGCGACTAGTCTAAACTTGCACTGATTGAAGTAATGAATTTAAAACTTTCTGACCTTTTTTATATTCGATGAAAACTCGACCATCCACGCTGATGAGAATGACAGTCTTGCCCTGACTGTATTGGGCCTCAATAGGCTGTGCCTGCAAACTCTTCACTTCATGTACTGTTTCGGGTAAGTCTTGAAGAAATTTACTGATATTAACGTCACCTAAAAGATACTAAAACATTATACGTACACTTCAATGGGCTTATTGGTTATATCGTCACAAATCGCCAAATCGCTTCGCTTCATTTCATGTTTTATTATTTTTTGCTGTTCCTATTTAAATTTCCCCCTCACAACTCCAATTTATTTTTCGTAATCCAATAATTCCAGTACGTTCATCATGAAATTTACGATTTTTGTAACTCAATTTTTCAAGCATTCGGTCCTTCAAGCATGAGAACCCTCCCCTCGTGGGCTAACAGAGCCAAATTAACTTTGGAAGAAACACCGAAGAAATCATTAGTTTATTTATAGAACACAACATTGAATTTATTATTTTAAAAACAGTTATTGAGAAAAAGAAAACAATTAGAGCTATAAAAGGGGCCAAAAAGTAAAAATACCCGTCGGATAAATTGAAGTTTGAAAAGAGAGGTTTGAAAACGGACCATATGGTCTGAGGACGCTCATTTTTTTTTATTGTAAGCCTGAAAATAATTTAATAATAATAATCATAATAACATTATTATATAATATTCTGATTATTAATAATATTATTACTATATATATTCATAACACTCGCCCGTAATTTCGTTGCCGCACCATGCCAGAGTAGATCCCGGGACATAAAACTTGTGCAGCTGGTGTCTCTTCGAGTCCAGATGAGTGTAGTAGGATTTGTTCAACTCCTCTGCCGCCTCGTCTGCCGCAGAAGCAGCTATTGTGATCGCGGCCGAAGAAGTCGTCATAGCAGTTTAATTTAATGCATCATACCTGGAAATCGCATCTATAAAACAGGGTATGTCAGAAAAAGTTGCATATGTTGAAGATAATCGAGGAAGCATCAACAATTGGGTCTTTACCATTATAGCCTTCCCCTTCTGTAAATTATAGACCCCCAAAATTTTTTTAAAAAATCGCTGTATGAAGAGTGGTGCACAGCAAATAAACCACAGTTGTTAACACGACAACATTTTTTGATGGGACTTCAAAATGACACTACACAAATTTCTTGGCCGTTTAAATTCGAACCGATTTTTATAGGTTTACCGCTCATTTGTCGTATTAATGTCATGTCGTCTCCATGTCGCTGCCTTCTTATTCACCTAGCACCATAAAGTGGTATCATTTTTATTGCTACGCTGGGGGGGGGGGGGCTATAATGGGGAATACCCTAACAATTGATACGTCATGCCGGGAAAAAAATTGATACGTCATGGAAAAAAAATAGATTATGAAATCGTAATTGCTGCATAATTTTTTTATTTCACGCTCTTTAAATGAATGACTTTCTCGTTGTGTAGTATTGCAAAAAAAAAATAAAAATCATAATATCATCGCTGTTACTTGACTCTCGGAAACTTTTATTCAACTTTTTCATTCAATTTGAAACGGAACTAAAATTTCTTTGATATGAATAAACCTGAAAACTTCCCGGTCAATTTGGTTCAGTAAAAGAACCAGTTCGTTCGTGTAAATTAATGGGCTTTTAGTTTGAGCTATTAAAACCAACTAATTTTTTTTTAGAGGCAAAGCGGAGCATAGCCAACTTCTACTTTTGAAGAAAAAAATATTTGGCCCTAAAGCTCTTTGAACTTCGAGAACAAATTATGCTTGACATGTTTTCGATAAATTTAACTGAAATCGGGAAAATTGGTTCAATACATAAAAATTGTATTCCGCTGGGAAATAAGTCCTACGTGTATTTTCAAGCCATTTACGCTTTCTTAAATGGATAGCCCAAATAGAATTAGAGCTCAACCAAATGGCACAGAATGTTCCGAACATATTTTCAGGAAAAAAAAAACTTTTTTTTCTTTAAATTAGTGTCCTTTTCGTACGTCGTGTGAAAATCCAGCTATACGAACGCATAGAAAATTAGTGAATTAGGCATAAACGAATCAAATTGTCTTCAAAAAGTAAATATAAAATTAGAAAACTTTTCGATTTTTTTTCCAATTTTTTGCACGGAAAACTTTAATTATATTTTTTAAATTTTTTTTTGAAAAATGTTTTTTTTTTTGCAGAGAAGAGCTAAACGAAGCTTCATTGTAGTAAAATCAGGTTGTTTAGCCTAAATTTCTAATTTTCATATATAACAAAACCTACTCGATCGCTTTACTCCTCGAAAATAGACGAAAAATCAAAAATTTCATACCGGTTTCTCTCGACAAGAAAAAATATTTTTGAATTTTTAAGAAAGGTTCGAACCAAGACTGAAAGGGCTTTCATATGATATTTCATTCAACCCGATCATAATCTGTGGTACCTGATTTTGCAGAACAATAAGAAATAAGATTTAAAAAAAAACTAAAACACGCGAATACCAAGTTCCTCCACATTTTTAAGGTCGGAACAATGAATTTGAAAAAAACGGAAACAAAAAACAACAACTAACAAAAACAACAACGTCAACGTAATCAAAAATAACTTTGTTCTAGAAAAGTATCTCAGAAACATCTGGAACCACAAACTTTTTTGCCTTGTGTTATATGCCTGATGGTGTTAGCACTCATTAGGAACACTGTTGATCCGCCAAAACGCTGCCTGATAGTGTTAGCAACCATTAGAAAAGTATTGACCCAGAAACCCGCGGTCATCCATAATACATATTTTTGACCCAAAAAAGCCATCATTCCGGATAATTTTGATCCGCAAACCCGCTGCCTGATAAATTTATCAAACATTATACATATGGCTGTTCTGAAAATCCGCTGCCTGATAAGGTTATCAGCCATTATACATATTATTGAACCGATCAAAATTTTTCACCGATGCCTGATGGCAGATGGTGTTGCTTGATGGTATTATCAACAATTTTGGACATTGTTGACTTGCAAACTCGCTGTCTGATAGTGCTGTCAACCAGTTAACATTTTGTTGACCCGCAAAACCGCTGCCTGATAGTGTTATCAACCATTATACATTGTTGACCCGAAAACCCGCTGCCTGAAAGTGTTATCAATCAATATACATTGTTGACCCGAAAACCGACTGCCTGATAGTGTTATCAACCATTATACATATTGTGGACCCTAAAACAGATTGTTGACCAGCAAACAAATTGATGACTCGCAAAACCGCTGCCTGATAGTGTTATCAACCATTATACATTGTTGACCCGAAAACCCGCTGCCTGAAAGTGTTATCAATCAATATACATTGTTGACCCGAAAACCGACTGCCTGATAAGGTTATCAGCCATTATACATATTATTGACCCGATCAAAATTTTTCACCGATGCCTGATGGCAGATGGTGTTGCTTGATGGTATTATCAACAATTTTGGACATTCTTGACTTGCAAACTCGCTGTCTGATAGTGCTGTCAACCAGTTAACATTTTGTTGACCCGCAAAACCGCTGCCTGATAGTGTTATCAACCATTATACATTGTTGACCCGAAAACCCGCTGCCTGAAAGTGTTATCAATCAATATACATTGTTGACCCAAAAACCGACTGCCTGATAGTGTTATCAACCATTATACATATTGTGGACCCTAAAACAGATTGTTGACCAGCAAACAAATTGATGACTCGCAAAACCGCTGCCTGATAGTGTTATCAACCATTATACATTGTTGACCCGAAAACCCGCTGCCTGAAAGTGTTATCAATCAATATACATTGTTGACCCGAAAACCGACTGCCTGATAGTGTTATCAACCATTATACATATTGTGGACCCTAAAACAGATTGTTGACCAGCAAACAAATTGATGACTCGCAAACCCGCTGCCTGATAGTGTTATCAACCATTATACATAGTTGACCCGAAAACCCGCTGCTTGAAAGTGTTATCAATCAATATACATTGTTGACCCGAAAACCGACTGCCTGATAGTGTTATCAACCATTATACATATTGTGGACCCTAAAACAGATTGTTGACCAGCAAACAAATTGATGACTCGCAAACCCGCTCCTTGATAGTGTCATCAACGATTATAGTTTTTTTTACCCGAAAAAGCAACCATTCTGGATATTGTTGACTCGCAAACCCGCTGCCTGATAAAGTTATCTAACATTATACATATGGTTGTTCTGAAAATCCGCTGCCTGATAAGGTTAGCAGCCATTATACATATTGTTGACCCGGTCAAAATCTTGGACCGACGCATGATGGTGTAGTCAACCATTATACATATTGTTGACCCGAAAAAGCAACCATTGTTGACCCTGATAGCGTTATCAACCATTACCTCTTGTTGAACCGAAAACCATTACATAAATTGCTGAAACGCAAATATTGTTGACTGCTGCCTTGACAATTGGACCATGGTAACCATAAATTGGGACATAGGCGATTCGAACATCACCTAGGGCCATGTTATAATGTGATGATCTTGATAAGGTTTGACATTTGCGATTGAAATCGCTGTACTTTTTTTTGTTCATTCAATTTTTTGTTATATCAATCGATTTAACCACTTTTCTTTTACACCTCAGATTAAATTAATGGGGTACGAGCGTGTAACGCACCTCCGGTGCTTCGAATTTTCAACAACTCAAAAAACTATTCTTTGAGTGTACTCTGACAGCACCCAATTACAGGGTTCGTAATAACAAATTTTGCAAAGTTTTTTATTCAAGTTTTTTATACAAATTTTGAACCATAAAATTTTGTGAAGTTTTATATGAGTTCTTCGAAAAATTTAAAATGAACTTAGAAACGTCAGATCTGGGAAACTGAAAGCAATTGAGCAGTTGCATTTGGACGTAGGATTTGCAACTCCTGAGAGTACTCTACAGTACCCAACTACAATGTTGGGAAATCCAAATTTTGAGAAACTTCACCTTAAGTTTTCTAAAAAAAAGGTATTCAAATCTCGAAAACTACAAAAATCTGAGCAGTCTTTTTGATGGAAATATTCGCAATCTTAGAAAGTACACAACTACAGGGTTGGGAATTTCACTTTAACGAATTATTTGGTAATTTGAGTTTTCTGAAATTTTCCAAAAAAAATAACAAAAATCGTCGTATCTCTTAAACAAAAATGATTTGGGCATTCTTAATTGGAGGTCAAATTTGCAACCCTTAGATTACTCTGATAGCCCCCCAACTTCAGGTTAGGAAATTCGAACTTTGAAAAAAAATTAATTTAATTTTCATGAAAATTTTTTCGAAAAAATCACAAAAAACGTCATATCTGGAAAACTACAAAGATTTGAGCAGTCAAATTTAGAGGCAAAACTCGCAACTCCTGAGAGTACCCTGACAGAGCGTCATTACAGAGATGAAAACTTCAAGTTTTGTGAAACTGTTTATAATTAAGTTTTAATTTAAGAACTTTAAAAAAAACTTAAAAAAACGTCATATCTCGAAAACTACAAGAATATAAGCAACCGAATTCAGAGGCAAGATTTGCAACCCCCTGAGAGTACCCTCACAGATTCCAATTACAGGATTGAGATCTTCAACGTTTTGGAAACTTTTTAAAATTAAGTTTTTGAAATTTTTTTTTTAAAAAATCATGAAAAAACGGCATATCTCAAAAACAACAAGGATTTGGGAAGTGAGAATTGGAGGCAAGATTCGCAACACCTGAGAGTACCCTGACAGCACCCAATTACAGGGTGAGATTTTCGAAAATTGAGAAATTGATAAATTTTCTAGAAATTTTTGAAAAATCTCGAAAATTGCCTCGTAAACTAAAAGGTTATGTATGTTGGTTATATGTCATGTCTCATTTTTTTATTAGCCCCCGGCCTGCTCAGAGCAGGACCAACCGTGGGGGAGGGGGAGATGTCATCCATTTTGCCGCAGCCGGTCCCACCTTCAG